CAAAAGCACGACTGAGGGTATAAATTATATATATATAGCTTTTTCCTAACATACGTATTCTGACTCAAAATCGAACTTTTTCTGAAATAATATACCGATTTTACGGCTCAAATTATGCCTAAATGTTAAAGTTTGTAAAATCTGATGGGAAACTTACCTACAAATTCATAAAAATTTATCTTAGCGCACTTTTTGATTTTGAGCTAACAATAGCTAGCTTGGCGAAATTCTTAATTTATGGTAACCTATTTTTGTATCCCTTTCATCGTGCCTAAAAAAATCGGAAAAAAGGTGCTTCTTTAATTCTTTGGAATAATTTTAACGAAGTTCGTAAATCACATTTGGCGTTATTATCGCTTATAACAAATACGCCAAGTTTGAAAACGCGCCTATAGACAAATTCACGTATAACTTGAGGAACACTTAATAGAAAACTTAAATTCTTTGCAGGCATGTCTAGAAATATATCTATTTTAATATAATAGTAAAATTTTCATAGGATATAATTCAAAAATGTTTTTTGAGAAATGTACAATCAATATTAAAAAATACAAATTTTGAAAGCAAATCGGGAAATACATGCGAATTTTGTTTGGATTGAACCTAAATTTCGCATTTTGAAACAAGGAATCAAATAAGTTTAATTTAAAAAGGGATCTTAACGAATATATACCAAATTCAGCTATCATTGTAACGCTAATTTTTTAAAACTACTCTTGCGACTTATGCAAAACTTAGATTATTGGCATAATTTGAGTCGTACAATCTAAATATGGAAAAATCATAGGTATGTCATTTCAGAAAAAGTCTGATTTTGTTTCAGAATATCTATGTTAGAACAATATCTAATATAAATTCTAAGTCGAGCTTTCGAGATATGAATAACTCAAGTCAATCAGCCCAGTAGAGCGAGATTTATAGAACTGTGTCCTTTTTTCTTTTTGGCACAAAGTGTTCATGCATTTCTAATACTTTTAGGACACTTCAAATGATTCATGCTGTATTAGTGACTCCATTACTGTCCAAAAAAATACACCCATACCACAAGAATCTCCAACACAAAGCATCGTTCATGGGATTGAACCTGCCATACATTCTGTTTCTCATATTTTATTCAGAAATGTTGTAATTTCGATATCTTTTTCATCCTTTAACCTGATTTCTGTTATGTGATGATATATGCATCCAAGCTATATTTTCAAACCTACACTGAAATTCATAAATCATGAATCCTAGCACTCGTAGCTCTTTCGTCAAACGTCCACAAGCTGCTATATACAGCCACTATGAGTTGGCCGTAAACAATTTTAATTATTAATAGTAACTAAAAACATAGAATTAGGCTGTGTTTAAAATTTATGCTATTCAGTTCATACGAAATTAGGGGGCTATAAGGCGATACCGAGAAGGATGATTTCTATTAGATTAATTTAATCACGATTTTAAATCTTATTTGCTTCTATTTGTTAAGCTTAGGTTTTTAGACTGCTGAACTTCCGCATTATATTAAAACAATCTTGTATCTGTTAAGATACGTTCATAATATTATTGAAATATTTCATCAGGAGAAAGCAACAAAGATAATTTTAAGAGTTAAAAATCGCTTATAACCATAAAGCTACAACTATACATAAACGTTTCTTACTCACCTCACGCATTTGTTATATAAAACGATATTTTCTGCCAACATCCTGAAAAACGATCGATTTCTCTAAATTTCTAAATCGATCTTTCTCTTTATAAATACATTCAAATTTTAAACATTTCGTCAAACAACCCTTTTTACTGAATGACAAATACTAATTTCTTTTCAAGGAATTTTTCTTCAAAAATCACATCGGAAATTATGTAGTAACACTTTAAAATTACATATGGTCTTTCTTCATGCCATTTGCTTTAGAGTACATATTCTCTGATCTCGATTCATTGAGTTAACATTCAAACATCACCTCTCAAATAACTATTAATAAGTAAGCGGCAAATTTCTACTTTAGTTTTCTGTTAATAATGATTAAAAGACAGAAAAATAACTGCTATTGACGATTAAAGACCGCTTTACCGGTTTTTGAAACGCATGCAAGTTATTAACCAATGTTAAAAATAGAATTTCCGATTTATTGTAAAGCTGGAGTCCTGGTCCTTTCATACAGTCGTTATTATGTAATCACATCTTATTATAAACAAAACTCACAAAACTCTGAATTTGTTCATCTACATTTCCATCTAACAACTGTAAGGAAATGGAAGGTGCTTTACTTCTAATTTTAAGTATGATTATTGAAAAGTATATCGCTTGATATTATTAGTGTGTATTTGTTTTATGTTAATCAGCAACATGTAAATTTTATTAGTACATATTGGTAAATTTGTAATTAATTGCAATAAGTGTGTTTAAATAATTAAGTTAGTAAATGTGCTTAAGACTAATATTTTCTATTCGTTAAAAATTTCAAATTGTTTTATGACTTACCTCTTAATTATATCAAGTATTTTATCTGTTATGGAATTCAATATAGCTTTGCTAACAAAAATATTAAATTTAAAGTAATTAAATTTAATTTATTTACTTCGTTTCTTTTTTAAATTTTAATTTAACAAATAATTGAAACCTGTATTGAAAACTATTTTGAATTTCCATTACTCACGAAACTATAAGAATAAATATAATTGAATTACGATTGATAAAGCTCTTTTATTCCTCAAAATGAGTTAAAGATGGTTTTAAAATACATACTTATCATGAATAAAAGTTATACTTATTTAATTAATTAAAGAAACCAAGTTTACATTAGAATATATATTTTATCCGCTCAGAATATGTATAAATATATATATATTCATGAATCCGAATACATAGTAATGCCGCTGAGAAACTCTAGTTATTAAAACGCATTTATGAATAAAACTTTACGGATCCTAATCCATAAAATTTCTAAAAACCTTTAATGCAGACGCCAAGCAAAGGATCATAAAATTCCTCGACCCAACTGAAATTCCCTTTTTATTCAATAAGAATGATTATTTTGATAAATCTCATACTTTTCACATTATTAATGCGAGCGCAACAAGTAAAACACATTAAAGAGTGCATTAGTGCATCAATACATTACTTTCATCCTAAGAAAACTGATAGAAAAGGCCATGTATAAAGTACATCATCAATTTCCTACTTCGAAACGGTTTATTTTATCAAAATCCAATAGTTACATTAATAAATAAAAAAAAAGTTGTAAGAATCATGTACGCCGCTCATAATCCTGCAGATTTTTTCCCTTCTTGGTTAAGGAGTTTTATAATTTTTCTTTTCAGCTGAAAGGATCAAGTCTGTTGGAGTATATTATATTTTCTTCAATATTAGACTTTTTGCTTAAACAAGTTTTCGATTTGCCGTTTCTTCAATGTGTTATGAAAATAAAAATAAAATTTTAGAAAATGGCAAACGTAGCTCTTGCTTATAACTTTTGCATTGCTACTTTAGGGAAAATAAACGTCTAGATTCCATTTTAATACCAGAACAACTTTCCAAACACAAGAACTTACAAATATCACTCTATTATAAATATATTTCAAGAAAGTATTTTTCAAAATTTCTGATTTAAAATCGATGATTTCTTTTGTAATTATTAAAATGCATTTGGATGTGCAACTGATCATAAAAATTCTGTGGCATTTGAAATGCTTGCCAGAAATGTTGATCACTTAATTCCTAGCCTCCAAGAATACTTAAATAATGACAAAAGGTCAGCCAAAAAACATGTTAATACTTACTATTGATAATAAAAACCCTACAGAACACACAGTTACTAGACATTAGTACGCAGTAACCAGTTCCTTTAAAACTGCGCAAAAGAAAATCTCCTCGAAACACAATCCACTCTCCTATTTATCTAAAGTAATTAATTTAATTTAGCATCGATAAAAATATGAATCATATTTACACAGATTCCAAACCTTACAACTTAATTGTATCTTGATTCAAAGTTAAGATAAAAGCATTTGTTTAGCTTCATATATGAATTTCTCCCTTTCACAAGTATGCTAAGGAACAGAACTGAAAATTCTGCATATTATACTCTTCAGCAGTAATAGTTGTTTACTTAGAAGAGAAAATAGCTTAGGATAAAACGTTTAAGGAAAATACATATATATTATTCAAAGAATGATATAGGTATTCTTAAAGGATAGTTTTGGTCTAAATAAGGAAAATCTGAAAATAAAAAAAGTTTGGAATAAAATGACTAAATGACTAAAACGGTCTGAAAATAAATTCCAAAGAAAACTTATATACAATAAATAAACATATATTGACATACATACAAATAAATTCAGATGGAAAAGGAGAAATTGGATATTTCTTGAAAAAGGCTTCTAATTATTGCGTATTCTTCCCTTGTCCTCCAAAACAGCGATCTCATATACTTTAGATTATTTAGTTATGGGAAAATATGTTAAGGATATTTAATAGGGAAGCGATGATTTTCATGAAGAGCTTACTAAAGTTAACTGGCTTCTATTTACTTTGCATAATAGGAGAATCATATGCAATTGACATCACAGAAATGATTCAAACAAACTAGTTTTAACCAATTTTCAACTCAAACTGTAGTATGTTTTAAATTATATACTTGTATTGTATTTACTCCTAGATTAATTATCTCTTTTGGCTTAACCCAAATGCAGTATATTTGCAATCATACGTATGTGCCTAATATATTTTGAGAATATATATGCCTAATATATTTCGCATACAGAAAATATCATTTGATATTATTAATGAAGTATTTATTTCAAAATGTCACCAGTTGTTCTGCATGTGAATTTTGATTTTACAGAATTTTATAAAATTTTCAAATTTATGTATTTTTAAGTACTTTTGTAATAAAATTAATAAAATAAAAATTCATTAATTTATATTTATTTCGTTTCAAGTAACTTTTTGCAATAAAGTAACATGAATATAGGGAAGGAAAAGCTGGGGACAATGTAAGAGACTATATTACCTTCGACCATTAAAAAGTATCCACGAGGATTTTTCCTCAGAATTTCAATGGCTTTTCTTGTCATTTTTGCTATCGATGGCTCGCCATCAATTCCCTTGTCTCGATCTGATTCGTACGCCATATGACCAGAATTAAACAAACCTGAAAAAAAAAAAAAAAAAAAAAAAAAAAAAAAAAAAAAAAAAGCTCTGCATTAGCTAATGCAGCATTCCCCCCTCAGTAGCATAGCTGCCTAGGTATATACAAGTAAAAATTCCATTAAGCATTTTTATTAACAGTTTACGAATGCAGCTTCAATTATTGAAAGTTTACAAATCTAGCTTCATCCTTTGTGTCATCTATGTTATGAAATAATTTTAACATAAAACCGGTAACTTAGAATATGTATTAAATACAACAATAAATGGCTTTAAAAAGTTTAGCTTAAATTTTACTTTATATATCCATATACATATTTATTGTTTTCTTTCATTCGTTCTCACATCGATCATTGAAGATCTCTCGATCTTCAATAGATTATATCTTTGTCATCATCTACTGATCTATTCTCGATCAAGATTATTTTTTTCTCTTTGGCACTGATCATCATACGATATTAATAAAGCCAGGATCTGTACGCCAATTAAAATTAAAATTTTTAAATTTATTTGATATTTTGATATTTTAGAAAACAAGCAGAGAAGATAAAGAAGGTAATTTATCTTGTTTCAATTAACGTGAGAAATCTGTATATTTCTAGGTACAAATTCAAGGATACACCGACAGGAGCATTTATTTTGCACATGTAGTAAGGATTCTTTAAACTTACCTTTTCCCTTTTCTCATTGTTTCCTTCGACGATGCTATGTATTTATGTTAATTCAGAAGTCAAACAACAAAAATCAGCATTATATTTTCAAATTTTCACAGGACTAGTTTCGATGGTTTTACCAAACCAACATCGTCAGCTGCAAAAGCGCAAATGAACGAGATAGGATATAATATCTTATCTTATCTGATCATTATATCCTATCTCATTCATTTGCGCTTTTGCAGCTGACGATGGTGGTTTGGTAAAACCATCGAAACTAGTCCTGTGAAAACTTGAAAATATAATGCTGACTTTTGTTGTTTGACTTCTGAATTAGTATTTGTTCGGCGTGTTATTGTGTCTTAATTATGTATTTATGTGTTAATTGTATTTAAGATGCCTGAAGACAATTCCAAGTGTGGAGTAGGTCCAGATAAAGAAAGGAGCAAATTTTTTGAGTACTGATTATTTTCAATTAAAACAAAGCCAAACCAAAGCTGAAAATTATCGTATAATTACCGTAAAAATTTTATCATGGGATTTCATAATGCTTCATATAGGTAACTAAAGTATCCTCGCGAGGAAGTAATTAATCTCTTGACATTATTGCTGCTCAGAATGGTAACCAGATACGAGTCAGTAAGATAAATAACTAATACAACTGAATTTATATTAAGTTATAAAATTTTTAACTTGGTACTTGCATGTATTAACTAGTCAAATGTGGGAGGATGTTACGCACACAGTTATATAACAAGATCAAGATTTGTGTCGAAATGAGCTGCGTTTTTATGCATGTGTTGTTTTTTCGTTTACTCAGAGTCTTCTTGTATACGTTTTCAACCACCATGTTAGAAAATTACATAGTGGTGAAAAGCGAAATATGTCACAATTTTACCATGTATACCATTTACTATGAAATGTCCCCTTATCCTACTCGCATCTTTCAAATGCATTCTTTTTACTCACGTTGCTCGTATTCCAAGTCAATGAACAATATCTGAAAAATGTTTTCTCTCTTAGTAAGGTTTAAACCTATAAAGTCATTTGTTGTGTTGATGATATGTGAATTAATTATTTTGCTTATTTAAGAAAAAGTCTTAACTTTTATTTAATTCCTTGAATTATTAATTTAATATTTTATTATTTATAATTAATTCACTATTCGGTTATGTAAATTCTTTAATTTTGTGAAAAATGCTTCAATGATACTTTTATTCTTTTTCTTTTACTTAATTTTAATCAAGATTTCTGTGTCCTTGTGAAGGATTAAGAAAAGAGAGCGAATTTTCGCCTAGTCATTCTATCTCTAGTTGACGTAGTTCTGGAGAACCTTCTAGAAAGAAATTGCTTTGTTTCGTTTGCCCTTTAGGACAGGAAGTACGAGGCGAAAGGTCAATGTTTATTATTTCACTTACAGGGTAGGTTGTTTACTTGGCGATCTAAGAGTCCAGTTGTTTGGTCATTTTAAAGAGATGGCGCATGTGCAGTTATCTGGTCTTTTAGGGTGAAAAACGGAAATTTGGTCCCTAAAAAGGGGCGGAAATCTAATTTTTATGGTGGCCTATGTTTGTGAAGGTGGCATGTGTTTGTGAAGAAGTGAAGGAGGATTTTCGATTAGAGACCACTTTTTGCTCGGGTCGTGCTAAGTGTTGGTTGGCATGGATTGAGCTGCGAAGGAAAAAGGGGGGAGCTACACTTATGCTCCTGACCTCGATGTTCGTATCTTAACTTTTGATAAACGAAAGCTCTCGATTATTATTAGCAAAAACGCGTTGGTTCCCAAACTAGAAAATTCTGTCTGAACTAGCGGTTCGTGACATCGAGAAAGGATTGTTTGCTTTCCTTCCTCCTGTTTTTTGACCTCTTTTAATGAGAGCTGGCAAGGTCTACCGATTTAGCCTAGAGACTCGTGAACAGTTAAGAGTTAATACCTACCTTAACATGTACTACGAAGAAAGCTGTCTTTGAGAATGGAAGCTGTGAGCTCGAAGGAACGCACCTCGATTGACATGCTGTTTTTTATCTTGAGTGTTCCACGTGTTGGGAGGTGAATCTTCGTAGAGGAATGACGGGACTGTATGCTTCTGCTAAATGCTTCATATCGACTGATGCTTTTCTCCAACCATGAGCGTAGCTGCTTGTGATATCTTGATAATTTTCGATCTTTTCTGGCGGTTAGATTAGACTGCAAGTCCTGGAGATCTCCGATAGAGCCCGAGAACCCTTCTGTCCAAAGCTAAGTTTTTTTTTCTTCTCCTTTATTCTTCCCACAATTAAAAATGTACTGATATCGATTAAGAATTTTACTCTAATGTAATTTGTTGAAGGAATTTACCTAATTGAGCTTTAAATTTAACGTTCTTGAAGAAATCCCTTTTCTTCCCTTTGTTCTACAGGAGTCTTAATTCTTGTCTGAAGCCCTAATAATAATTAGTAACTAAAATTGTTAAAATTTCTGAGTTAATTGTTTGTTACATTATTAACGCATACTTAACACTTGAAGGTGAAAAACTGTAAAAACCTATCTTCCGCCTTATGATTTGTTTGAATGTGTTAATTTATAACATATCTGTAATTTTTACTAAAATTATGAATTAAGTTAATATACAATATTTACTGGGTAGTACATAACTATGTAAATTATGCTAAAAGATGAATCTGTGAGAATTCCATTTTTTGTTTTACCTGAGAATATTTAATTAACCAGAATTAATTTGAATTTTATGTCATTTTTTATTAGTAAATTACATTTTATTTTCTTGTCCGATCTTTACCTAGCTCAGTCCCGGAATGATTAGAACACAACGCAAATTATTTTCCATTAATTACGATCACATAAATGTTGAACTAGCCCTTATGAGTTTATTTCAGGTTTTACTAGTTTAGTTAGCATAAGGTTTATTTTATTTAACTTATTCAAGGCTTCACCAAACAATATTGTAAGCACACACACACACAAAAAAAAAAAAAAAAAAAAAAAAAAAAAAGCTCACAATGTTACATTGGTGTCTTTCGTTAGTTACGGTTTCACCTATCAGTTCCGTGCGGTATTTTATTTAGATACCGTTGTAGAGACATTAGGTATTTTTCGGAAGCAGGCAAGATGAAAAATGAGCAAACGCCTTCGCCGGGAATCGAACCACGGACCTCTGGAATACCCGCCCAGCATGTAGGACCACTACAGCATGAAGGCATGTTAGGAAGAGGGAAGAAATACCTTATATACTCTCCCTTTTAAAGCGCGACTGGGGTTTTTAGGGGATCCAATCCTGGGTGTGGAGAGTCATCAACCACAACTCTTTTAGTTAGTGCGCCACTGTAGAGATATTAGACATTTTTTGGAAGCAGGCAAGAAGAAAAATCAGCAAACGCCTTCGTCAGAAATCGAACCACGGACCTCTGGAATACCGGCCCAGCGTGCAGAACCACTATACCACGAAGGCATGCTAGGAAGGGGGAATACCTTATACGTCTAGAAACTGAACACACTAATAGAACCGACAATGTGCCAAATGGCAGCTACAAAACAGCATGCGTTCTTCAGCCGAGTTCATCTGAAGTGAATCTTGAAAGAAAATTCAGCGTTCAGATTATTGGTTTAGATTCTGCAGTATTACTTCTTTCATTAGAATTACTTACTTAATTATAACACATAACCTTATATTACAAAATAAATACAAATAAATTACAAAATACCAAGGTTAATTGGAAGCTTGAGGATTCATTTAACAATTCCTTAAAACGCATGAAAATAATATCGGAATTTTCACTCTTAAAAAATTATTCTCTGGATACAAATAAAATTGTTACGAAAGAAAACTTGTTTGCCAATATGTGTCGTTTTCGAAATAAATAATTTAACTTATGTTCACATAATGAAAATAATAATCATGGAATTTTCGTATATTGATTAGCACAAACATACAAAAAAAGTGAACTTAATCTAATGTATATCCGGACATCCCGTCAGTAGATTTTCGGAAATAAATACAGTATTTAAATGGTTTAAATTCCATTTATTTTATCTGTTAAATAATAAAAGATGCTAACTTTCAATGCAATAGATTAATTACGAAGTAAATTATGTTACTAGGATTAATTATCAAATAAACAAAATTATTTTAAGAAAAGCGTATCTATACAAAAAGTCACATACTTTAGATAATATTATTATCATGATCCCATACATGAAAGTTCACGTGCATATATAGTTCTCATTGAAAAGGACAAAGTTCAATGCACTGAACACAGAGCGGGTATGCTGATCTTATTTCCATGTTGAGGATATCAGAGAGGATTTCTCTAGCTTTCTGCTCGTTTAGGAATTTTCCATCTTTCGCTAAGTAGT